TTCCACACAAACGTATTATGGTCATTTCTCCTTTGTGCTTCAAAATTAATATAACATACAACTAATACAAGTATATACATATAATTGATTAATCAACATTATTTCGGATGGATGAACAGAGGTGGCACCTGGAAAACTGGAGGACACTGTCATCAATTAAAGCTGCCTGACTTTGGTCCATTGCCTAATAAAACCGAAAAGCTTGTTGATATTGTCTCTAGTGTATTGTCAAAGCACCCACAAGGATTTCTAGTGAAGATGATGAACATTAACCCCATGACGTACCGAAGACAAGATGGGCATACATCTTTGTATCATTTTGGGCCAGGAAATGGACCAGGTCCTCTCAACCGTCAAGATTGTAGCCACTGGTGTTTGCCTGGCGTGCCTGATTCATGGAATGAGCTTATTTATGCTCTTTTTCTCCAGCGGGAATCCATGCGCTCAACAAGTTCAGCACCAAATTCGTAAGCTCCATTGTGATTTTGTGATGGTACATATTGCCTATTGCTACTGGCAACAATACATGAATGCATAGGAAAAAAGATTCATATTTCTGACAAATATAGGCTTGAGATTCGAGAATCTTGTCCACTGGATCAATGAATTTATACCAAATTCTTTTCCTGTCACTCTTAGACTTCTAGTTTCTGCCATGCTCGGAATGAAAAAATGGTCAATTTCAATGGTTGGATACCCTTAAATTTTGCATTAATGGGAGGATAATAAATTTCATATAAGACTTTTAACCTTTGGAAATAAAATTCATATGGATTTAGGATTGAGATTGAAATCCAAAGTCAACAGCCTAAACAGATCCTCAGGACATACGAAACATGGGTTTGTTTTTTTTAGAACTTTTTTGGGTAAAGTAATTTGTGATTATAGTATGCTTAATTAATGCAGTGATTTAAACAAATCTTGACCTAAGATTAAGGTTTCGATAAATATATAATACCAATTGGCAGTTAGCTTTGGTTAATAAATCATCGGAATAAACCAATTGCAAGTTTATCTTGATATTATTGCAGATCTCGAAATTCTCCTAGCCTTAAATGTCGCGGCACTGTTTTGTCGGGGGCCTTCAGTTTTTCCCGCGTTTTCTAGCCATGACCGCATGACTGACAGCATGAGGTCCAAACGCTGCCGCGCACATTGGCCCCTTTTCTTTCTATTTTACATTCCTGAATTGAAGTGTTTGGCCACTGGCTACTGTAATTTTGCTGGAAATGAAAGTTTTACTGCGGTTGGAGCCGCTTAGTTTAGTATTCTTTCATGGCTAACAGCATTGGCAAAAAAACATGCCTTTTTCCTAGAGTTCCGACGGTTTAAGATGCTAAACTCCCCATTTCGTTTCTCACTAAAATCTTCCCTTAAAAGTACAGCCCGTGAATGAATGTAAATGTTTTTTCTTTTGTTGGGGTTCTTAAGGATGACAAAGAACGCAGCTACACAAGTCTTAAACACAATAACGCATTTGGATTTTTCGAAGAAACTCAAGCAATTTAACCTTCTTGAGCCCTTTCCGGCTTTGCTTGGCTTCACTTTGGTTGCTTGCCTCTTCACTGGTTGCTTCTTTTACTTAAATTACCAGGCTGTCATCTTCCATGGATTCCCTTGGTTTGGACTTAGTGGTGCTGCATCATCAGTATTACACGCAGAAGTAACAGCACTGAATGCCAATGAACTGCTTGGATTTTTAGATGAAGATGGAGATACTTGTGATATTTATGATGGGAAATGGGTTTGGGACGATAACTATCCACTGTATCAGAGTCCAGATTGCCCTTTTATAGATAGTGGTTTCCGGTGTTTAGAAAATGGTAGGCCTGATAGTTTCTACACCAAGTGGCGTTGGCAGCCTAAAGCTTGCAATTTGCCCAGGTCTATACCCTTTTTGTGCTTCTCTCTTCTTTTGTTTTTATCTTATTGGTTTTCTTTTATAATAATGGAAATTAAAAGAGAAAATAAAATAAAGAGTTTACTCTAACTTTAGTTGAAGAAGGAAAAGGAAAATACGTATCTCATTGCAGTTAAAAAGTGTTGGTTTTCAACAATGAATTGTGTGTTTGTGTTACATGATCTTAGCGCCTATGTTAGCAAGCCTCCTTTTAATACGATATGGTTTCATTACTGTCAACTATTGTCCTGAAATTTCCAGATCGATAGCAGAAAAAGTATTACTGTTATCTTAAGGTTTGGTTTTCTCTTTCCTGAAGACAGATTTAATGCAACGAAGATGCTGGAAAAGCTAAGGAATCGGCGCCTTGCATTTATTGGTGACTCAATTGGAAGGAACCAATGGGAGTCTATGCTCTGCATGCTTAGTGTCGCTGTTCCCAGTAAGAATTCAATATATGAGGTGAATGGAAGCCCAATCACAAAGCATAAAGGGTTCTTGGTTTTCAGGTTTGCGGATTATAACTGCACACTGGAATACTACAGAGCTCCATTTCTAGTGGCCCAGGGAAGTGCTCCACGAGGTGCTCCAAAAGGTGTTAAGGTGACTCTAAGACTGGATCATATGACCGGCACTCACCAGCACTGGGTTGACGCAGATGTGCTGGTTTTTAACAGTGGCCACTGGTGGAGTCGTGAGAAGACCACAGACCGGTAATTATCATCTATGATCTGTCTGATTATATTAATTATGATCTATGATCTATCTGGTTGCTATGTGATGATGCTGGGTTATTGTGTGACATTATGACGGATGATAGTGTTGATCACATATATATGCAGCCACTCAAATGCTGTTAATTGATTGTTGATAAGCCTCTCTAGAAGGGTCCTGTCTTTCTAGAGTTGTGCTGTCCTGCTGCCATGTTGGGGTAGTTTTTGTAAAGCTTTCTATGCAATGAAATATACTACTTCCTTTTCAAAAAAAAAAAATTGATCTAGTTTATACATATTTATGTTTGTTTGTGACTGATCAACTATATATGAGATCTAGTTGATCATGCATGTAGAATGAATGATTATAGAAAGGAGCCCCTCGTAAATTTTAGTTCTAGTTTATTGAGGTTACCATTAGCTCTTGCTATAGTTGATGACCCTGATATTTCGATTTATTTGTCAGTGGTTGTTATTTCCAAGAGGGAACAAACGTGAACTTAAAGATGGACCTTGCAACAGCATTCCAGAAATCTATTGAAACGCTAGTTGACTTTGTTCACAGTCAAGTAAATACAAACAGGACCCAAGTTTTTTTCCGAACCTATGCTCCTTCACATTTCAGGTTTTACCTCTTTTCTTTTAAAGTATTTGTTTACTTATTCAGTTATTCTTTGTCATTCTATCATTGATAGTTCTTTCCTACTCTAGTTTTAGCTTGGCTTTCAAACATTGGAGGTCTTATTCTGTTTTGTTATGGATATTCTGGTATCAGCAAGATGGATATGAATATCAAGTATCATTGTCACTCTTCATGTCTTACCCTCATAGAGAATATATCATTTGTACTTCTTTTGAACACAATACCGCATTTGATCTCTTAAAACTTCAAAAGAGATATGAAATAGATTGAATAGAACTGACTTTTTCATAGCATGCTCCTGCAGGCATAGGTTCTGTTGTAGAACTGGTGGTGCTTGCTGCAATAATTGGTAGATCCCAAAAGTTGAAATGAAATATCATTAAAACAACTAACAAACACAAGAATAGGGCTTCACATTGAAGTTAAAATGTCAAGGTGCATTCTCGCCATAGTAAGCTGAAACATTCAATTGTGTTGATGACAGTGTAATATAGGGCCCTTGCGAACTACTATGCTGCAATAAGCTGAATGCTATTTTCAAGTTTCCTGTCCATATATAGTCAATAGTTTTGAATGCTTTTTCTCATTTTATATATCTATGGGTATTAGTATCATGATTCCTTGTGCATCGAACTTATCATATATTGGTTTGATGAAACAGAGGTGGTGCCTGGAGCAATGGTGGACGTTGTCACCATATAAAGCTACCTGACTTTGGTCCATTTCCTGATAAAACTGAAAATAGCATTGAGATAGTATGTGATGTATTGTCAAAGCATCCAGGTAGGTTGCAAGTGATGGAGATGATGAATGTGACTCCCATGACTTATCGAAGACAAGATGGCCATACATCTTTGTATCATTTTGGGCCAGGAAATGAATCTGAACCTTCTGGTGAAGATTGTAGCCACTGGTGCTTGCCTGGGGTCCCTGATTCATGGAACGAGCTACTTTATGCAGTTTTTCTCAAGCAGGAGTTTGCTCGCTCCCCCAGTCCGTCAGTACATTCTCAGGCTCCAATGTGATTGTATATGAAAGTTTCCTGATTATTATTAACAATATATAGAGGAGTTAAGTGGATAAGGAAATGGTCCATATTCCTGGTAAATGTTGAGCCTGAGAATCTTGTGCAACTGACCACTCACATTTTGCCATAGATTGACTGTCTTTTATGCAAATCCTTCCTCCCCACTTCCAGTTTTATTGGAATGTTTGTTCAAATTCATCTTGGGTTGGTCAACAGAAACCTGGTTCTTTTCTCATTCTTGGACAGAGGAACTCGTACCCAAGTATTGAATGGTTCATCGCAGTTTGTATCGACAGATCTAGGTAGTTTATTGATACGGATGTCATTCTATTATGATAGTCTGTAAGGAATTTCCTCCAGCAAGGATGAAATGGCAAAAAAAGGAGAGCCCTTGATATATTCTCTTACCATTTCCAATTTTCATGTTTAGGGAAATACTGTTTTTCCCGACTATAGGACTTTTAGAGTGCAGTGCAGAATTGATACGTTTGCTAAGCTTCTTAAAAGTATGTAAATCATTATCCTTTCTGTGTTGGCATCCAACTAGATGGTGTTATACATGTGTTTGCAATTACCCAAATTTTTTATTCGTGTTATCTCGTTCCAATTAGTGTGCCAATAATTCATGTTTTCCATTTAACATCAATTACCGCAGGAAAAAAAAAAATCAGCGCACTCAAACCTTCATGCAGATTACTGAAAACGCACAATTGCTGTTGTGTCTCCAAGAACCCAGAATTAGATTAAAAAGAAAAAAGAGTGAATTACAAGTCCACAATCGAAACACGAATGATCACATCAAATAGATAAGGTTTCACTGTTGCAAACACTTTGTGCTACAAAACAAACATGTTATCAGACAAAAGTCAATTCCAGTCAGAAAGCTGTTTAGTCAGTAAATGGATATTGCTCATACCTAATTGTACAATCATGGAGCACCGAGCGAGCCCCTATTCGACTTTGACAAGTTCCGAACATGGCAGTTTTAGCAGCAGACAAACAAGTAGCACAGTCCGAGCTCGTCAGGTTCTGGTTACAAGCCGCATGACCGTAGGCAAAAGCATTAGGATACGGAGAGATATTGAAGTAATTGTACCCCTTGCGCGAAGGCGTTAGAGTCTCTAATTCTTCAAGAACAAAGGCCAAGCTAGTGGCAAAAGGGTCACCCTTGGAATAGACACCCGAGTTGCAAAGAACAGTTGTCACGCTTGTATTTGGTACGCTTCTGACATTACTGCATAGCAAAAGTAATCCGATCACGGCTGCTGCCAGTTTTGGAAGAAAACCCATATCTTAAATTTTTTTCTTCCTTTTCTTGATTGATTCAAAGTTTCTGATCTGACACGAGACTCCCTGTGACTTTAGATGGGGTTTTCTTGTTTCTCATTGGTTTCTCCATCAACATCAATTTATGGCGATGTTTGACTTTCGTCCTTGCGCATTTGGTAATATTTTGAAATTGTCCTTTTGACCATATGTTTCCTTGTTGGTATCCATTACGTTAACCTATTGCTTGATTTACGGATCAGATTAGGAAGCTCCAAGCCTCTGAGGCTCAGTGCTATTTGTCTAGAAGAGATGGCCATAGCTGTCATTTTACCTCATACGAGGCATCCCAAGCATCTTCTATACTTGGATGCTTCAGCCAGCCAGCACCAGCTGCATTGCTTTTAATATTTTAATTAAGTAATATATGATTTGGGATCCTATCCAGTTTCTCATAATCTTTTTACATGCAATGGATGTTTGTCAGTTTATGTGAAAGAGAATAAATAATCACCCTCTTCTCCTCTTGTCTTAAATAGATGATAGTAGTATCGCTTGTATGCAACGTGGAAGTCCAAAAAATGTTGTGAAATAAGCTCAGGTGCAGCCGACCTGTTAACACAAGGTTCAGGTTGAGTTAGTGCTTTGTGAATGACTCATTCACAATTCTAGAAGCCACCCTTTTTTTTCTTCTTTTTGTTTCAGAAGCTTCCATCTGGTTTGATCTTGGTGTTTTTTTCTATAGAAATACAAGATAATTTACTTGGAGAAAGATTAGGTCAGGGCCGTCAGGCATTGGTTTACCAACTTGCCAGCCCCAGGGGCCCCTAGGCCCAAATAGAGTTAACAATTCACTGGCCAATGCGGGCACGCAAGGCCTGCCAAAAAAGAACTTTTTCCTGATAAACAGCCGATGAAATTTGTTAAAGAGAAAGAAATTGTCATGAGATGAGGTTCACATTTATTCGGATTCAGTAGATTAAAAGCTATAGAGCCAAATGTCACACACTTCTGATTTTCATAGACTTTAAACCGATTTATATGAGTATGACTACAAATTCATTGTAATGGATTTCTTAATTCTTAGTAACTACAAAAATAAAGCTAGTAAGCTCCCTAATCAAGTAACAACTCTAGGCTTCGTATATTCCTCTCTCTTGTTTAATGCTCGAACATTTTTCCCCACCCCACTTTTGTTCTTATCATCTAGTTTTACTTAATAAGTAAAAAATAATATTTCCCAGGAAACCCTCTCTCTTTGTTTTTTTTTTCTGGGAATTCATCTAAAAAATCTTTTATAGCCAGCCAAAAATATTGGCCTATGATTTATGTACAGTAGTACTACAATAAGCACAATTATAGCTTGAAATACTTAATCAACTATTTATGGAAACCTCCAAGTTCTCCAAGTTCTTCCACGTCTTTTGCCAATTCGTCCATATTTTCCACCATCTCCATCAATGAATATAAGAAGCTTGCTAATCCAAGCCCATCAGCATTCTCCAAATTAGTTCCAAGTGTGGCAGGAGTCACAACTAGACTTAGCTCTAGCCTTACAGACTTCAATTTTGGCACAACCACATCCTCAGATGGACATTTTCTCATACTTTTTATGCTTTCTCCAAGTTCTCTTAGTGTCCATGCAAGTGAGGATATCATTGCTTCACATGGTTCTTTAACTGACTGTCGAAGACCTTCCGATGACTGATTACAAAGAAATGAAGCAATTAAATTTGTGAAAATTTTTCCTAATTAAGAAAGATTGTGGAAAACACATTCATTCAATACCGCAAATGATAGAAAATGATTTTAAGAACATTTTGTACCTGGGTAGGAGATCTAAGGCAACCTTTAAGTGAAAGGATGGTTGTAGCCAAATCTCTAAGATCCCCTCCTATTTTTATGTACTTTCCCCAGGGGTAGGAAAACCCAAATTTCCCATGCCATGGTTCCCATCTTGCAAAATTTACCTGCACAATTTCGATTGTTTATCAAACGAGAATTGGACTATACGTCGAAGTAGGAAATATTTTTGATGGCCATGATTATATTTTTTACGCGTCTTCAATTTCTTTAGAGGATGTATCGAATGGTGACTTCATCATGTCCAGTTATTGACAATAGAAAGAAATAATATACCAATGATTCATCCTTGGTCTTAGAGTGCAGGACTGCTTTGCAGCTACTGAAATTAGCACTGGACTTGTTTTCCTTCCCGGTGACATTTTCAAAGTATTCCTTGGAGAATCCTACAACATAAGAACATATAAGTTCATGGTTAGAACTTAGAATGAGTGAATATAGAAATTTCAATGAAGTAACTATTAAGTCATAAAGCTCTATATATACACTCTTTGAACCATTTTTGTTTTGTTTTCTTTTTTGGTGAAATAACCATTTTCGTACTTATCAACCTGCTTCTAGTCTAGGTGGTCACGTATTGGGTTCCCACCCAACCAACGTGAAGTCTATCCTTAGCCTTAATTTCCATGAAAAATTTAAGGTGTCATGGTCCACTTCAACCTCCAGGTCCGCCCCCTTCAGGCCTCGACTCCAAACCCTGGGCCGCCATAGTGAGATGTAGACTCAAAGATAAATATTATTAGGTATAAATAAGTACTATGCCTTGTACATTTAAAAAATATCATACCTTCCAGAGAGCGGGCAAGGTCTTCAAATCTTGAGATTAAAGAGTCGTGGAGTTCATCACTGGCCCAAATGGGGAAGACGAGCAAACTTATGAAAACGCAGATGGCGAAGCCCATGAGAATGGTTGAGAGACGCTCACGGGCTAATTCCAGGACTTGTTCAGCACGTAAACCCGATACCACAACCAAATTGAAAGTGAGAATGAATATTAATGCTCCGTAGTCGTACTTCTTTTTGATGTTTGGCACCTGTCGAGTGTAAGTCGCGGCCGCCCCTGAAAGATATCCGGCACCCATACTACTTGTAAAGATTCGAATCTTTAAAAAATAAGATTTTGATATTGACTTTAAAGAACAGCAAATAACACTTGATGGCACCACTAAATGATTGGCACTGGTGCAATTAAATAGAATTAATAGACCGTCTCTATTTTTTTGGCTTTATTTTTTAATAATGGAAAATAACTTTATTTGTATCTTATTATTATTCAGATTTGAATCTAAAATTAATATTGAGATTGGAGAATTTTTTTTTTCTGCCCAATGTCCCCAACTCTAAAATTTTAATCTTGGGATGAAAAGAAGAAGCCTTGGCTAGGGGGTCTGTCCTACCAAAAACGAAGACAGCAATGCCAACAACTATGGCTTTGCCAATCCCACTGACTGCTTGGGCGAAAGCTGCAGCTAAACACCCCAAGCCACCTCCTAGTACAGTCCCAATTCCACGATTTAAGCCCTTGCTGAGTGTAGCGCCTGACAGGTGTTAATATGAAACACCTTAGTGAGCAAAACTGAGTAAAAGCTTGAAATATTTGGAATTAAAATAAAGTCAATCATCAACTATGTATGTACAAGCAAAGAATACAAACCTGCAAAGAACTCAAAGACGACCACAACAGTCATTATAGCCCACATGGCATTTTCTCCAACTTCCTTATAGAGAGGATCGAGTAGATAGAGAAGGGAAACTAAAACGAGGGCGACACCAACCTTGATGCTGTGAATCACTTTTCTCATGTCATGCCTTCTTTTGTTTTCTCTTAGAAAGGAACTAATGCCTGGACAAGAAAACGTATCGAATTTCTTGATGTTTTCTTTGGGAGGAACCCCTTCTCCATCTGGAATGACTATAACAATCGACGCCATTGGCAAATAATACTACTTGTCTTACTCTGTAGGATTCTTTATTTCCTTTTTCCTTTGTGAGTTTCACTTTCAGTTTGAGTAGTTTGGGTGGAGATAGAGGAACGGACTATAAATAAGCATGGCAACAGGGACAGGCATAAAGTGGGCAAAGAAGGAGTAATGCTGATCAGCTCCAAAAGTGGGCACAAACTAATAGCACTTGGTAGCCATATAGCATGAAAAATATTTACATGTTTGCATGTTAATTTTAGCGTTTTATCTATACATCGACTTTATGAATTAAGTGACTTATGACACTAGTGGAACACATCGCACAGCACGACGTACCTTTCCATGTCGTTAATAGTCTTTTCACAACACCTGATCAAAGGCCACGGCCACCATGTAGACTGCACATATTGTTTCATGTTCTAATTTCATATTATTCAGATTGGAATTTTACTTATTGCCTGATAATTAAGTCGTTTATTAATTAAGTATATAATGCTCATGGCTATAAATATACTTGAAGCACGAACATATGATACCATTTGATGTAGAGGATGGTCCTTTCATTCGCAACACCGCAGAGGGATTGATGTCTCTGTTTAATTAGTACCGTTGGAACTTCATATATTCAAAATTTAATTGAGACATTTGGTTGCTAAGGATACAGGGTAGGTACTAAATATGCTTATTAATCGCAAAGGATATGGCTCAACCTAAAAAGGGGTCCCCAATCATCATTAATTGGAAAGAATAAGAGTCTTCTATGAAGATTTTACAAGCTTGATTATAATTAATTAACATATGAGAAAGAGTGGAAATATACCAAATCAAAACAGATACGGTTTGTTTCGTGAGGTTTAATTCTTTGCTTAGAACTAGAGAATGGAAATTAAAATTGTTTCACAACTCAAGCTTTATAGCAACATCAAGTGTTGGGATATTGCATATTTTGTTTTTTATGTATTACTTTTTCTTATCCCAACAAAGTAAGTAAAAAAATTTCAAATTAATACTAGTATATGGACTACAATTAATTAAATAAATATCTTCAAGACATTCATTAAAATATGTACAAAATACAAGGTATAGCTCATAGACGAGGGCCGGCTGAAATCGTAGGAAGTACGAATGTAGCTGGTTGGACCAGGGTGTAGAGCTCTAAGTTGAGATCAGAACCATTTGAACAGGGTTTCAGATAATTCCACTATAATGAGTGCCATTTATCGATATCTACTTTAGATGAGTCCACATCCCCCACAAATGTGCTAAATTCCAGCAACATGGCTTACATATTATTTGTCATCCTAATGGTTACAAGAAGAAGTTGCACTGTCGTGTCATGCTGGAGTTTCAAAATATCTGATGCCATGACCTCCTTTTCTGAGGATATTTCCATCATGCCTAGCTCGTTTCCTGCATGCTTTTCTGATTTGTATGGAGTTCCCAAAGCATATTTTGCAGCTACACAATTGTAAATTTAACCCAAAGCACATTTCAGTTGATAAAGTTTTAATTTAACTATAATTAGTATTATAACTTATAGTAAGTTTGGTTCACGGAATAAATTAAAAATAGCTATTTTGTTAAAATAAAATAAAATAAGAATAAAATAAAATAATTATTATCTAGTTTGATATAACAAATAGAATAAGGTAAAAATAGTTATCATAACTTATTATTGTATTTGGTTAGTAAAAATAACTTTGAAATAAAAAAAGAATAAATGACAAAACTATCTTTGATTATAATAGCATTTATTTTCATTAAAAATAAAATTACCCTTACTATAATTTAAATACATATTTATCCTAAAAAAATAAAATTACTCTTAATTATAATTTCATCACATATTAGTTATTTATAATTTATTTAAAATCTTAATAATTGATAATTTAAATATTAATATTTTATTTATAATTTAAATGTTATTAGAATTAAAATATAAATAATTTTCATTAATTTTTAAATTTAAAACATATTTTTATAATATATAATTAAAATTTTGAACTTTTTATTTTTAATTTTTAATTTTTCTTTCTTCTCATTATGCTAGCCATTGGAGATGTGGTCGACGTAACGGCGCGTAGATCTGGTGCTCCTTGTGGCTGAATCAAGCCACGAGGGCACCTAATTTGCACCTCTCATGGTCAAAGTCAACACTTTACGATCAGATTCAGCCACAGACATTTGGCCAAAGACATTGGAATTGGCATTTTCTCGATTAGATCTGGATGAAAAAGTCTAGATCCGACTATAAAACCGTCGCCACTGCCGCTCCCTTCAATGGTGGGTGGAAGATTACAGAGAGGAGAGAGGCAAAAGCTGGAATGAAAGGAGAGGATAAGTAAAGAACAAAAAAAAAAGAATGCTTTTTTATAGGTATGATTATAATTTTTCAAACTTGTAAAGAATATTTTGATTTTTATATTTTTTTAATATTATTCCTCATCTATGGAATAGTTAGTTAATACCATGAAGTTGGTATTAACTATTCCTTAATTTTAGTTGATTTTGAATAATGATTATCATGGAAAAATGACTATTTCTTGGACTATTTGACAACCAAACAAACCAATAAATGTTTTTTAAGAAACCATTCCCCCAATCAAACACACAGTTCAAACCTTAATTTAAGGTGAGCCAAATGGAAAACATATATTCAAACAAGTATATATCATTAGGATAAAGAGATTGAAGAAACTGGTATTCGATTAGTGATGATTCAATAAAAAATGGTACCAGCAAGCCATAGTGGAGAATGTTGCATTTGGCCACTTTATATTGTCTCTTACGTGATTGTGTTTGCTATTTATTGATTAAATTAATTTCTTTTTTTTTTCTTTTTTGAATTGTCTCATTGCAGCGAAATAGAAGGTGCTTCATTACTTGATTGCTGATCACCTAATGTTTGAATTTGTATTATAATTCTGTTTGATTTAGTTGCACCATCTATAACTGCTGCTCTAAATGTTTTACTCGAGATTGATCGAATCTAGATACTGTGACTGATTATGGTCATCATTCACCTTTGAGATGAGAGCATAGAATCGATATTTCATCAATTCGATAAGAACTAGAAAATTAAATAGAAAAATGGAAAAAAGATAAAAGCAGAATTTGTTTTTTTTTTTGGCTATAGTGCAAGTGTTGTAATGAAAATTTAAGGTTAAAAGTACTAAATAAGTCTCTAAATCATTTTAAATTTTTCAAAAAATTTATATGATGTTATTGATCGAAATAAATCTTTATTCTATAATTTTTATTCACATATGTTGTGCAAAAGATACTAACCGATGGTGAATCTAATAATCATTAAGGTCACATGATGAACGTAAAATCTTTTCGTTAATTTAAGAAATTATTTGAGTATATTTTATAAGATAAGAATTAATCTAAGTATAATTACAAAACTAAAGATTTATTTAAATAAAGAAAAATTTTCATAAGTTTATTTAATATTTTAGAAAACAAATTCTGGGGCCTACATTACATGAATGCATGTATTCAGCACCAGAATTATATTAATACTTGATTCGTGAAATAAAATAAGGGTTAGAAATCACTAAATAAATAACAATCTTATGTTGTTTGTGATCTCGTATGTATCACTGATAGTGCTATTTTTTTTACTACCGAGACCAATTAAAGATTCCCAAGCAAAGTTCACCTAAGTTTAGTCTTTGATGACAGGAAGAAAATCTTCTCATTTTGTACGTTCTCTTATTGCTTTAAAGATCACTATTTTTTTTTTTAAACTTTTCTGATGAATAAAATATGCAGGGCTTGTTATTTAATGTGTACGGGAAGGTGTACCTTCTTGGCAATTTCCAAGCACTAAATAAGTGGGCAAGCTCCATGCGTTCTGGAAAGTGGAGACAACGTTTGCTTAATGGGTGGAGAAGAGAAAGGATGAGTTTGTTAAAAACAAATTCCTGGGTAATAGTAGTTGTGATTAGCTTAAAATGGTCAGGTTGTCTTGATCTGGGAGGGAAACACTTTATGGGGTTTTAAAGCTTTTAAAACCTTCAGTGCTTTCCATGTTCATTACGTAATTAGGATCGATAATCTGACCCAACCCAATATCGACAGAAAAAGAGCTGTCCAGGTGATTTCTCTTAATTTCTTTTTCTTTAAACTAATTAAGCAATAAAAAGGCTTCCAAATTTGAATATCACTTCAACGTGCTAACACCTTTACCTACTCCCCTTAATTAAAACGCTTTAGATAAGGTATTATTTCTTTGTACCTGACAACAAAGAGTCATCTGCTACGAATGGAATCGTGCATATATCTGAAATCTTGGAGGAGCTTGAGCTCCTGTGTTTTTTGCATTAATATAACAATACTGTTTAATATGTATATATTTACAAATTACTATACTGTTTAGGCTGCCGGTTGTTGTTGGTCTACACTTGTTTATCAAGTCAATAGATGGAAGTAGAGTGAGCTCACGCGGTGTTAGCTCGATCCTGGTGGAGCCTCATGACAGGGGTATGGCCAGATTTCTCTTTTTCATCATTCATTTTTCCAAGGAGACAAGAACCTAACTCCTTGAGTGGAGATTAGTGATGAATTAATTGACACTTGTAATGGGTCAATTCCAAATTAACCACCCATTTGATTAACAATAGCTTAAAACAATAAATAAACATACGATTAACTGAAAACACGCACAACTAGGACAAACACGGACCTCACACAGAATGGAAAGTTAAATCTTAATTAATTCAATAATCAAAATGCACCAAATTCATCTGTATTTTGATTATTGGCGTTTTATAAGTTTATGAACTGATCTGCTGCCTGCCTGCCTGCATCGCTTTCAGCACACAAATGATTTATCCTCTAGATTTTTGTTATGCATCAACCTCAAAAGTAGTCTCAGGGATTCCCACTACCAATACTGTCGATTGTTCCTATCAAAAGTAACTTAGCCCTCCAGGCTCCGACCGATCATGGCATTTGCAGCTCAGCTTCTTTTACAGCAATGATACTGACATTTGATACATAATGGTACAAACACTAGAACGAAATTCTGACTTTCAGCCCCGTTTACCAAATTATCACGGCTCATGAC